GGAAAGAAAGCAGGCTGCAGCTAGGAAATACCGAATGAGAAATTAGACTGGGGTTGAATAAACAGCCGAGGAACCGATGCTACGTGCAGAAATCCAAGTTATTCAAAAGCAGGGGCAAGAGAAGTCTTTTTTCATTACAAGAAAACTCCAAGATGCTAGAGCTGAAGGGAGGTCCACCTTGCTGCATTTTGGCTCACGGGGCGGACAGGCTGGTTGCCTGCTCTGCTGACCCATGGCTTTGCTCCCGAACGGCGGTCCTCAACCTTTTCAGACTCGAGGAACCTCTCGACAGACTCGAGGCACCTCTCAATAGACTCAAGACTTCCCTCAGCAAACACCAGCTCTTGGTTTCCCCTCATTTTCTGATTAAGGAAAAATACTAGAGCGATTCTTTGGTTGCAAAGGACTCAGAGAGACCACAGCAGGCGGGAACATTTTTAACCCTATGGATTCCTCTTTGAAAACTCAGGATTTATCCTGCAGCCGGGGTTTGTATACCTGACAGTGCTTTCAGTGCCTGGCACCCCTGAAAGCATCTCAAGGCACCCCAGAGCGCCACGGTGCCCTGGCTGAGAATCTCTGCTCTAGGGAGGAGGCAAGATATACCAGACACATCCTGCTTGATAAAAGAGCCCCTGAGCAGGATCCTCTTATATGTCACCATCCACGTTCCCGCTTGCTCATGAGAACAGGCTGACAAAGAGGGAAAGCTATGATATATGCACCATGACAAAGGCTGGTAATTACGACTGTGGCACTTCTAAATACCTCCACATTTCAGGATCACGAACCTGACGACAGCGTCCCCTTAACACACCATTAATTGAGACTACGTCTTCCCTACCAGGGATCCTTCATTCTTGGATAACAAATCTTCCACAGCCCAGGAAAACAATTTGAGAAAGGGTTTTAGTTGAGCCTTTAGCACAAGTACTAGCAGTTCTGCATGATGTGAAATGATATATAGGCGATGCATATCAACAACTGTTCTTGAAGCTGTAACTTTCTATGGCTGTTCCCTGCAGGATTCCCCTTGCAAATCAGATATTTGTCTCAATGGGATAGTTCCCTGTATAAATTTCAATAAATAATGCCGGAGCTGGAAGCAGCTGCATTCCAAGTGCGTGCACTTATTTTTATCATTGCTGGAACGTGGCCAACCTGTACTTGGCATTTTGATTAGTTTGGAAATGCCGTCGTGGACCATGATATAAAAACCTCGCAGCCTCGCACAGCTGA